GAAGAAACCTGCACCTGCTGTTGGGAAAAGGAGACGCTATGAATCAGACACGTCAAGTGACGACCCTGGTGTAAGTCCTTTAAAGGGAAGTGGAGAGTTTTACAACGGAAAGAAATGCATCCCAATTTTAACAAGACACAAGACAATGTTTACAACGGAAGGCATGGTGAAGATGTTGTTAAACGCAACAAACGATAATGTAAAGTGCACCGAGCCTCCTAAGCACGTGCAGATGAACGCCGTGTTTCTAATTGATTTACGATATATTCCCCTTGACGATCTACGAGCCGACGGATTGCCACAGTATGATAACTATGATGGTAAACGGACTATACCAGTTGAAGTAGAGAATGACGAAAATGGTGAACTAAAAGTGGTTGTTACCGGCTCTGAGCGAGAGAAACCAGTACCCGCGAGGCGTTATTATCTTGAGCGTTTATATCACAGCTGGAATGTTAAGAAGAAAAACAAGTACCACAGGCGCATCATGCATGTGAGAGACGAACGCGGCGAAGTTGTCAACAATGTTGCATGTGTCCAATATGTCTACGACAAAGAAGAAGTCAAATTTGCAATGAAGCCACATAAGAGTTCCAAAAATGGTAAAGGCGTACCTTACACACGAACAAAGCCATCAGTGGTGCGAAACCTGGATAACAAGCTGGCGTCACTGGGCCCAAAAGACGCAGTCTCAATGACAACACAAGAATCGGGTGGTGTGTTGAAGGCTGAATGTTTAAGCGACCTACCACGTGGACCAAGACAAGGGTATTACCGTAACCAACTTCAGAAAGAAACGTTACCTTCCCACGTCAGAGGGGGGCAGAAGCAGGATGAACTGCTTGAAGTTCTTTTGACAATGAAAACTGACAAGGAGCCTTTTGTTCGAAAAGTTACCATTGAGAAGGAGAACACAACAATCGTTATCGCCTCAGAGGAACAGCTGAACAACTTGTTGAAGTTCAGCACGTCGGAAATTGACTTTTGTACTGTGCAGATTGATCCCACTTTCCGCCTTGGGCCGTACGAATGTACCCCCATATCATATCGTAATCTAATGATGAAGCGAAAGCCCACTGGAAAGAGTCCTCTGAGATTAGGTCCTGTACTTATTCACTACCGCAAGGACCAAAATACGTACAGTGGTTTTCTTCAAAATCTTATTGATTTGAAGCCAGCACTGCAAGGAATGTTATCAACAGGGACTGATGGTGAACAAGCTCTTGTAAACGCCATAGACGCAAAGCTCCCCAATGCGCACAGTCGCAGTCTGCGTTGTTTTCGCCACTTGCAAGATAACTTTAAGCAAGCATTGACGTCATATGGGATGGTCGGGATGCAGAGACGGTTCATTGACGAAGTATTTGGCAAAGTTGACAGTAACGGTATTTACCACCTTGGGCTCCTGGACGCCGCGTCACCGGAAGAATTTGACGTCAAGTTGGAGTCTCTTAGGGATGGGTGGAAAGAAAGAGGCGATCCTACCGAGAAGGTCTTCAAGTGGGTGATAAGCAGGGCCGAAATGATGAAGACAAGGATGATCGCAAGTGTACGCAGGGCAGCCAGACTACCTCCAATGACAAAGGATAGTGATATCCCCTCCCATTTTCTTACTAATGACGCCGAGGCAAATAACAGCCGGATCAAATCAGTGAAGAAACATACCCAGTCGGGTTTCTGTGGCACAATCGAGGCAGTTCGAAATCTTGTGAAAACTGAGAATGAGGAATTTTCTCAAGCAGTGGCTGGTGTGTCGCAGGGTTACGAACTTCGCGAAGAGTTCCAGAAGTTTGTAGTACCAGATTTCCTCTCGAGGTCGCAAGAAGAACGAAGCAGTTACATCCGCAAGCTTAGTTTGGCTACCATGGAAGATCTCCATGCTGCAGACGGGCCTGAATCATTTGGGTGGGCTACCGGTACTGGATGTGAAAAGTCCAAGCCGACTTCAAGAGATGTGATTGGATGTACCACAGAAATGCTCAGCAGAGATGTCGACGGTTTCGATTTCCTGTATGAAGATCCCCGACTGGAAACAATTTTAAGTACCGCTCGTGAAGCAATGGTTAAGAAAGCAAGGCTGCTTTTAGACAATAAAGGTGTCTGGCGAGGACCACCGACGTCAGATGGAAAGGCAACATTTTCAGTTTCAAGCCTCTCCCAAGAACGACCAAACTATGTGGTGATTGACAAGAAAAGTGGCAGTGTGGAGTGTGAGTGCACAAACTGGAAGTCTCTGAAAATGTGTTCACACGCTTTAGCAGTTGCAGAACGAGAGGACACTTTACACGAGTATTTAGATTTTTATGCCAAGCAGCCAATGTCCAAAAAGAGGAACCTGACAAAGGTGAGCAACCTCAACGTGAATGTTGGCCCCCTGGGAAAAAAAGGAAGACGCGTACGTAACCGCTCAAAGACAACACCATCGGCTACAGTTACAGTCCCGGCGAGCAGTGAAGAGTCCTCTCCTCTATCTCATGGTAAATACAATTTGAGGTGGCTTTTCGAGAGCAGGGCATATCAGTGCTATGGGTGCAACTCTGCAATCCGTGTGCCTGGTCACGTACCACCACCCCCAGACGACGTGGTAGCTGCAACGAAAGAGTACAGATCATTTATGAAAGCAGGAAAACTTCAAGTCCGCTATGGACCAACTCATTACCACCTAAGACAAGATTGTATAAAAGAGAAGAATGTGAACTTCAATCCGGTCACGGATTTGGTGCTTTCACCTCAAGACTATGCCCGTTTTTTGCCTGCACATGAAATGCTGTTGCAGGAAGAGTTTGGTATTAGCTGTAATAAGTAGCTTAAATTTTCCATTAACTGCAAGTCATTTTTTGGGAGTGACATTTTTTTTTTAATTTTTTTTTTGGCAAGGAGAGAAGATCGTTTAACTTTTTTTACATCTAGTTGCAAATGAAACCTCCTATTTTAAACATTCTAAAGTGATAGCCATTTCAGTGTCAAAACAGGATAAAACTGTCTGAAAAACTTAAAAAGTGACATGTTCACGGTGCGGTGTAAAATTCTTATAAGAGCTGGGTCAGGTCTCAAACTGGACCACAGAAAGACTGCTGCAATCTGATCATTTTCCAGATCAGACATTACATTATTCAAGATGTATAGGGATGACAGCTGTCTTATTTGAAGTGAAATTATTTTAAAATGTTCTAGTTTGTAATCCAGCCAATGGATTTCGGTTTTCTGCGTTCATATTATTGTTGACTGTTCCCTGGTATCAAAAAACAGTTGAAGTTATTCTTTTGTAAGGTATTACTTTGAAGTGATTTAACATCAGGAAGAAACATGTAACGGTCTGTTGGCCCCGCGGTCAAAGGTGACCTTCACATGAGAAGCCTGATCGTATTACCCGGCCAATGGCTGCTGCTAGATCAAACAAAATATTAAATCAAATTTACTCCAGCGGAGCGTTTGAAAGAAACAGCAGACGGCCTTTAAATTAAAATGTAACGTGAACTTGAACTTAGTTCACTTTAGTTCGTCTGATGTGAATTTCTACACGGAAATATCATAAATAAGTTTATGGAAAAACTGTCCTTATATAATTAGTTCATATTTAAAACAACTGATTCTGTACTGAGTATTTAAGTTTACTAACTGAATATATGCACTTTAATCTTTCGGCGTTGCCACCTTCATATCTTTACTGAAACTGTGAATCTTTTGACTCAATTAGTTTATGTTATAGTTTAACATGTTAATGTTACATTAGAAGTCAAAGTTACATTGAAAGTGATTGCTTGTTGGTTGTTGTACGACTGCGAGGGACTCGGCTAAAGCAGACATAGGTGTGAGAAGACTTCTTGTTCATGAAAATAATGGAGGTGACATTTAAGATGTCATTCGCTTATTGACAACAAGTCGTCGCTATCGTACCTTGCTCATTACCGCGATTTTCTTAATCGTCTCCTCTGAAAAGAAGCATTCAATCCAAGCTCAGTGAGAAACAAGACCAATTCAGAAGAGAGTGGACATAGAAAGAAACACAAAATCATTGCAATGAGAGATACGTACATCTCTGTCCGCCATCTTCGATTCGGGAGACGTCACGTGACCAAGCCTCTTTTTGGAATTGTAATCGTATGAAGTTATGCAACAGAAAATTTCCCAGTGCAGTTCAGTTGAAAATAATTCTTTGCGATGATTTTAAAGCTGATGGTGAATTTTAAGCCTGGTGATACATGAGAAACTATTTTTTTGGTATTAGTGACACAGGCGGCTCGGAAGAAAAAATCCGAGTCGAACCGGTTAGACTCACGTTGTGAGAACTCGGCTTTCTTATTCCGAGCCACCTGTGTCATTGTTAAAGCAGCTTTTGTCAAAATAATTCTTCTGCACCAAAAGCGAAGACACTAGTCCGATCCGTAATCCGATCCGATCCGATCCGATCCGGAGTCCGATCCGATCCGATCCGATCCAAGCAATCCGATCCTGGTTTTGTTAACGGCCCTATTTCTCTTGGATTTCACCCCACTCGGTTGACATGTACTCGGATAACTCGAACTTTCGTTTCCTTGATCACAATTCTTGTCGTGTAATCGCGATAAAAACACTAAAACTAACACTACAGAAATCATTTCTCAATTAATACCGGATCACGTGTTATCGTTTCTATTGGATCATCTCAAGTTATTATCGGAATAGAGTAGAGAACTGCACTTGTGACCTGTGTTTTGTACTTTCCAGTTTCCGATGAGATAAGTTGAATTGCACTGTATTGCAGACTGAAGTGCTGAAAAATCAGTTAGCCATGACTAGAACCCCCTTAACTCGAACTTTTTTTCGTTTCTCTTCAGAGTTCAAGTTACCGGGTTTCTTCTGTTTAAAGAAAAAATCATTTTCCTATGTTTCTCGAGTCCGGTCCACGCGTAGCAGGCCTAACGAAAACGAGGCTCGTTGTCAAGGCCGGCCCTCTCAGCAGAGATAAGATGGGGTTCGAGTAGTGCACCAAGAACTGACAGACTTTGAGAATTTAAATTATGGACCTCATAGATTTAATTGGCGACTCAAGAACTGACAGTCTACCAGCTGGGTTTCTGCGGTCGATAAAAATTAAGTACAAACAAGAATCTTCCCGCGTATTCCCGCCAGGGACTCCATATAAAGAGGACACTGTCGGAGGAAAACAAAGCTTGCAAAAGGAAGGACAAAGTCCAAGATCTGGTTCGGCAGCGAGCGGGGCGTCTGTACCGGTAACTTACTCAAGAAATTAGAAAACTATTACTCTATTTTATCGTTATGTTTTGTCATTTATTGCTTTTTCCTTGGAGCATCATGGATTTTTATTATTTGTTTACGAAAAATTGATCGGTCTCTACGCATACTGATAGCAATTGCAGCAATACAACTTCCACTTTAGAGTAGAGAATTTGTGTACAGTGTACCGCCATTTATCTCAAAAAACACAGGCTACATTTATTTCTAAAAAAACTCACATGGTCCAGAGAGGTGTGATGTTGATGGCAGTAATTATTAATATGTTCACAGAATTTTATGGCATTTAATAGAGGTTTTTATTGCTCTAAATTGATTGGCATGTTATTTAAGCCTACACTTATTTCAACTGAGTTAAATCGGTTCAAAGTAATGTCTCTGTTAAATCTCAATAAATTAGGGACTGTTATGGGAGCAATGCCAGATCTAGGGCATGGTTCCATCTGAAATTATGGGTTTTAGTGCTATTTAACTTCCAAATACCAGACCAATTAAAATTTTTTTGCAAAAAATTAAAATATTAAAATGACTAAATTTCCATTATTTAGGCTCGAAAGTATTTATAGCACCAATGCTAGTGAGACCAAGCAAATGCTTGAAAGAAATAGTTTATACCAAACATTAATGGGGTTAAGAATCCCAAATGGCCAGGGGCAAACCAGTTGGCTATTTACAAGCGTGGTCAAAGATTTGACCTTGACACTACTGAAAACAAATCCAGTTAGCGATCAGGGGTACCCAATGACAGTTTCCTCCTAAATGCATTGAAAACACTTTTTAGGCTATCCAGAGTATTTTCAGATCTAGAAATGCATTCTAATCGGCGTTATAAAATTTGTATCTGTTCGGTTGTCCTAGGGCAACTTGAGTCTTTTCGAAATTACTAGGGCCTCAGTAATATTTTCCAGAAAATTTTAGATGCAATAGGTTTTACGAAAGTGTGAATTTTTCTGATTCCTCTCTCCATCGCATTTTCAAAATCCGAAAATTTTAGGTTTACTTTTTCTATGAAAAATGGGCTAACCTAGTGACTGAAATGCAAAAAACTAAACGTAAGAAAGGATATGCATTAGATATGCTACGAAAATTGTACATGAATGGAATGGTTATCTAGAAATTTTTAGCCTTTCTCAAGCTATAGAAAATTGTAGGCAATTTTGCTTCTCCGAACAGATATTTTACAGAAAACAGTCATTGGGTGCCCTTGAGCGGTCAGGCTGGGACCTCCAAATTGCAAATCCAGCACTGTAACTGCTCCTGCTCTGCCACGCTGCTTCCTCACTGATAGTGAGTTGCTGCTGTTTAACTCACGGTCATTAAGGCTGGTTTGTGATTTGAACAGTTGATGAAGCTATTTTTGTCTATTTCAGAGTTTTATGGGATGGCGTGTGCCGTCAAGGTTGATTCAACAGAACAGAACTCCACTCCAGTCAGCTGGTGAGAATCTATGTGATGTCCTTGTGGCAGAAGAACTGAAACTTTTCAAATGCTGACCTGGCCAGGCCAGTTTCCACTTTTCATGGAAATGGTCAGATCTTTTACAATAAAAAGAAATTATTAATACATATAATTCTCAGGACTTAAAATTTACAGATCTCCAGGGGCACATGCTTTGGAGTCCATTAAGAGCTGGTTTAAAGCACTCAGTTTATAACTAACACCTTTTTTTCCAAGTTGCAAACATTTTGCTGTCTTTCATCTTCAGGGCAACTTTCCATGTTTTTTTTATTTGTATTCTGGTCTGTTTGACTGAATTATGCTCATTTGGGTAAAATGTGAAAGATTTCTCCCTTCCCTTTCCCACAAAGTAGATGTCAGTTTTCTATAATCATTAAAACTGATGATGTCACCAGTAGTACAAGGGATGTGACTGAGGTCCACACAGACACTTTAGGACCCTCCAAGGGGAAACAGACTTAATTATCTTTTTAGCATATTTTTTTAAGTTCACAAAAATTCCCTTTGCTATAATAGGAGGATATAAATATGCAGAGAGAGAAAAGATGGAATCCAGGATGTCAGTTCAAAGTAGAAGATCTGTTGGCAGTAGAAACAGTCAAACAAATCCACTATCAAGAGGAAAAGATGAACGTAAGCAATAAAGAAAATTATATAATAGACAATAGACAATATCTTATTTGGGGTCTTTTACCATCTGGTACATCAACTGTTTCCCAAATAATTTAAAATTAAAATATATGCTAAGCTATTTATTACACTAATACAGTTACATAACAAGTTATTACAAATAGAGATAATTACATTTATTATTCAGTCAAAATATTTCCCTGTTTCTGATTGGCTAAAAGCACATGTTTAATTCACCATAACCAGTTACTGATGACCAAATTTGGAAGAATTTTGACTTTAACGAGGAAATGACATCAAAAATGCAGCGTTTTCACAGGTTAAGGCACCGTTAACCGAGAAGACCTGGGGACGAGGTTGAGTTGTTTTGGTTGTGAACTTGAAAAAATGGCGAACATCTCACTCGTTTCAAGAGTAAGAACTAGGCGAAAAAATAGCTAAAAACATGGCAAGAACAGCAAGAAGGGCGACATCTGCTATTTGGAGAATATTTGCGGAGCTGGACAAACCTAAACGTACACTATCGAAGATGAACTTAACATCGATGGATCGATGGAGGTAAGCATGTTTTAGCAATGTTTTTAAACTAGGAATTATTTTGAATGAATAATAAAACATTTATTGAATTCGGCTTTGGTATCATATGAAGAATTATGGAGATCTCGGAGGGTGTTATCCGCCTCGGCCTACGGCCGCGACGGATAACACCCTCCTCGATCTCCATTATTCTTAGATACTCAGCCTCATTCATTAACTGTTAAATACACAGACACATATTTTAATCTACCTTTTGTCTTCCTTCTCTTTTCTTATTTTGAAACATTTGAACACATATACCCTGCTACATTTGTATGCATAGCAGCAATGTGGATGATCACCCCCTCTCCCTCCTCCCTGGGGTAGCCTAAACTTGTTTGAACTTTTATTAACTTTGGCATGATAGCTAGCTAGCAGGTGTAATTCACCATTTATTCCAGTATTTATTTCAAAAGCTTTTTAATTCTCATCATTAACTTTTTGTACCTTGTAGTACCAAGGCTGGAGTCAGCTAATGCAGTAAGAAAGAGTCCTTTTCTGAGAAAAGTTACACCCCTGGCTAAAGTGAGTATTTTTTGGGGGGGGGGTTTTCATGGTTTTTATCAGTCTATGTCATGCCCCAGTTGACTTAATTGACCACTCTCTGAATGTAGCACCACGTTGCTGCTACAAACTCATTTAAAAATAACAATAATAATTTATTTCTAATATTAACTTTTTTATTACTGTTGACATATACATCCATGCAGACACCACCACTTCCAGCAATGAGAAATTTTTCCAAGGAACTAAGCAAAGGTAAGAACACTTTAATAACTGTTTTAATATCATAGGTGATGAATTACTCCTTAATTTTGGCGCGAAATTTCAGCATTAATTTGTAATTTCACATGCGAAATTACAAAATTGCCATGGCAACCCTTCCGTATGTCTCAGTGTCAAGATGGCGACGAAGTTTTAAAATGTCATGAATGAAGATGTCAGGGCACAAAAAGACGCTTTAGAAAACCTGAACACACAAGAGAACATCAAGAAGGACTCTAACAGGTACTTTGCCGAGAAAGTCTGAAAAATTCTGAACTTTATAAGCCAAATTTAAGGTCTAAACATTTGAGAGAGTGGAGTTCTCGATCGATACGATCCAGGATAAACATGTCAAAAATCCAAGATTGCTAACGTAATTCGTCACCCATGATATTAATAGGTAATCAAATGGTATGCTTGTGAAATTAGGGAATAATTTCACTTGCGTTTTGTCCAAATCCTAATAATTTCCCTTGCCTGAAGGCTTGGGAAATTATTAGGATTTGGACAAAACACGCGTGAAATTATTCCCTAATTTCACTCGTCACCATTTGATTACACATACTAATTTGACAGTAATTGTCCAATTATTACTTATTTTCATAGAAACTTGAAAAAAAAAATATTACTGGTTTGGTAGATGATCGAACAGTGATAATTCACAGGATATCACAAGTACATGTATTTATATGTGTTATGAAAGAATGAACACTGTGTCTATTCCAGACAAAACAGACAAGAGCATACTGCAAGATATGGAGGAGGCAAAGAGGACTGCTGTTGAGAAGGTAGTTATGACAGTTCTTTACAATTATTACTTAAAGCAAAGGAATAGTTTACAATGGGTTGGGTTTGCACATTTATGTACAGTGATTAATTATTTAAATTAGTAGAGCTCTATGAGCCAAAGGAATGCGGAGCGCTTTACATTCTGGGGGAAAGAAAAGTTATTTTATAGTAGATCATAGTAGTGGTATCACATTTTTTTATAGTGATATGTTTAAAAAAATCACTTCTTTTAATCTACTTGGAAAATGCCATGATAATATTCTCAAACTGTAGTCTGGGCAGTGCGTCATGGTAAACTTACTTTTGCACTATCTTTTGTGCATAATTTGCATGTGCAATGCATTAGTTTGTCAAAAATTTAGTTACTCAGCATATTTGCATACAAACACGCAAAGTCATATTTAAATGATATATGGCAACTGAGTAAAAAATCCCTTTCTATGACTTTTCTTTCAGTCAATCAGGAAAATTATTCATCCTCACTCACTGGAAGCTGTGAACGAATGGTTGAAGACAGCTACAGATAAAGGTTTGCTTTCAGTCAGCATTTTATTATTTAGGCTTGTTTATAGTGGAAAGTGCACTTAGCTTATCCAGCTAGTTTACAGACACTCCACTCAAATACTTAGAAACAAATAATTCAAATCCAACATAACAGAATAAAAAAAACCAATCGTAAGGAGGCAACCAGTTGGCTATTTACAAGGGTGGCTGAGGATGTGAACTCGGGCGACCAAGAACAAATCCAGCAAGTCACCAGAGCAGGACTCTAACCTGGGACAGCCGGATTACAAGTCTGACACACTGACCACTGCACCATGCTGACCCTTTGTTGATGAAAGAGCATTACAATCAGTCACTTTCTAGGCTTTAAATTTGTAGGGAAGATTTCATACTCAGGCCCTGTTTAAATGGAGAAAAATTGTCCCACCTGGCAAGAAAACGTCATCCGCCTGCCCAAGCTACCCTGAGCAAGCCAACTTTTCATACATTTCCTTTCAAAACAAGGCATTTTGTTACATGAAAAACAAAAAGTTGGATCTGCTAGAAGGTTTACCTGGGTCACCCTCCTAGTCGGGCCAACTTTTCTCCATATAAACACTTTAGCTCGCTCAGTCGAGTCAACTTGGTCAAGGTTAGACAATCAGAGCACGTGTGAGCGTTGTTTTAGACAAGTACATGTAGATCACATGCAGAGCATATAAGTGAGCTGTTGGCTCCGGCGAAGGAGACAACTTTTTTCATAATCCTAAACTTGCTTAAAGTTGACTCTGCTGGGATGGTGACAATCTACCCAGGACAGGTTTTCTCCATATAAATTGGGCCTCTGAGGCTAATAAGTTTTCTCACCCATCTTTTCACATGTTTCTTAGAATAAGGTCTGATCACATATTACTGTTTGAATTTTGTGCACCACTTTTTGAAACACCAGTTGTTAAAAGCTAGTGGTTTAAGAGAACAGTTGTAAACCCTGAGAGATTTAACCATCTTAACTGAGAAATGCCAAATCAAACAGTCAAAAACCAGTGAAATTATCAAGAGAAAATGGATTGACATCGTTTGATCAAAAGAATGTTTTGAATCAAAGCCATCCATTTCTCTTTCAAGATTACTAATTCAATAGCAAAGTAAGACTGGAAACAAGAATTTTTGGAAATGGAACAGCAAGTTGTGGTTAGACTGGAGGTGGACCACTTTGACCAGAAAATTTCCATGAGGACCGAAGCGTTTCATTTATTTCTTGACTGAAATTTCCGAAAATGTTGGCCTACAAGTAAAATCACAAGCACCCACAATAAATTTAACAAAAAAACTTACAGTTTCTGAGATTTTTTTTTGTTTAATTATCAAGTTTAAATGATACATTTTTGTTTGTGTTTAAAGAACGTGAGCTAGCTTTGAAGTTCTTCAGTACCCTGTCTGGAGTGAAAACAGACAAACTGGATATGGTTGGCCAAAAATTGAATCAAGATCATTTAGTGGGAAATTGTGAGCCCTGTGACAGTGGTAGAATCAAGGAAGCTTTGGAAGCATTGGCTAGGTTTGTATAAGAGCCTTCATGAGGAAAGTACACTTACGTAAAATTGTGGAATGTTTATTACAGGCAGTTTGTATTTTTGTGGCACAAAGGAAGAGTTAAGTGATGACGAAAACATTAATGTTTTTAAACCAGTAAAATCAGCACTGTTTTGGATATTGTCCTTCCACTATAGTCACTAACTACATTGTATTTTTCATGATGTAAAAAAGGTGTTAAGATTAATTTTACAAAGATTTTGCCCCTTGCAAATGTTCGACATAATTATGTTGTGTACCACTTTTCAAGACAACTACCATCAGTTACATGTACTTCATTCCAACAATGTACACTTTCACTATTTATGGTAACTATCATAATAATTAATTTTTTGTCCTTTGAACTGTCTTACGGTTTCATTGTTGCATTCCACAGAGAGGATACTGTTGTGTCACGTGGTAAACTGCTGTATAACCCCAAGAGAGCCCCAGACATCACCAAACATTCATACTATCAGAAAGCCAAACAGCGGTTGCCAGTACATGTACGGCAGCAGTTCCAAACTTGGCACCATCTTCCAGTGTACACTGTAGCAAGTGATGCCGCCATAAACAAGAGTGCAATGTTCACTCAGCCACACAAAGCCTATGGGCGGCACTTTACTATCCATCCAGAGTGGGGACTGCACAAGCCCATTGTTCTGTAAACAAAGGTTTATACAGTGACATTTAGGTGGCTGTCACTTTGTTGTGTGTGTGTGGAGTGGGTAAGGGCTTCAATGCAAGACTATGCTCTATCAGTAACTGATGCCCTTTTGCCTTAAGGTTATGCTGGGAACACTGGATTCCACAGGTTCAGAGCATTTGGGTTCCATACAATTTTTTGCTTAGAACACAGCCTTGCATTGTAAATAATGCATCAAATCAATAGTGAGTCAAAGTTTTTTTTGTTTGTTTGTTGTCTATAATTGTTTTCTGCAAGTTAATATTTTGAAAACATATGCTGTCCTATATTATGAACACTTTTAGGTGTCAAAGACAAGTTTAACAGCACTGTGAGTCTCTGACTTATGCACCAGGTCAGTTCTTGTTATCAAAAGTGAAAAAAAAAAAATGTTAAATACATGCATGTGTATTGTTTGAGCACTGATTGCAAACAGAACATAATGTTGATTCTAACACAATAGAATGTGGACTTAACAAGAATTAAACTTCCTTCTTAACTGGGCCACCAGTCACAAAAGGAACTGTTGAAAGTACGGCAACGATGTCAGTATAGTTCTCCTTTTTCATAAATTAGTTTTTATAAATGTAAAACTAAGTGAATTGTCAGGACAATAAGGTATCTGGAAAGTAGACTAACTGAAAATTAGGACTATGGTCCCTTGTAAGCGTGAATTCCGACCATCCCTAAATGGTTTAGAATTCTGTTGGTTAGTTTTCCTTTTTTACTAATTTATTACATATACTCACACATAAATTTGCACAATTACAAGGATTTGACCCTACCATAACCAACAGGAAGTCACAGCTAGTCTACTTACCTTATTGTAAACTGTTGTTTAGTCTTCAAGATTCAATCCAAATTCTTTATACATATCTTTTGTTGTTGTTCCATCTATCTCAGCTGTTAAGAAAAACATTTTTGAGTGTATCACAGTATCAAATGGAGTCATAAACACTGTGAAAAGTTTTCATAGTGCTGATAAGTAAGGATTTTTGTAATGCCATTGAGTAATCATCCACAAAATCAGAGTTGTAACTCAAGTTTTACAAAGTGACATTTCACAAGAATAAAATGCATTGAAAATTACTATTGTTGAAGACTTACTCCTTAATCAGTTAATCACACTAAATAATCATACTTAGATCAAAACTTACCAAAATGACAGCCAGTTTTGTCTTTGATTATGTCAAATTGCATTTTTCTTATCTTGGTTCAGCTTTAACCAGGATTATTTTTTTGAGTGTTGAAAAAACCAAACACAAGAAAATCTTTGGCATGCTTGGCCATTAATTAAAAAATAATGATCATTTCAGATTGGCACATTTTGGTAGCCTTTTTTTACCACAAATAATAAACCGAGGGTTATGGAAGAGGAATATGGCTGTAAAGGTTAATACTCTATTACTAGTGTTAACATTTTGTGGCAGGAATTGGCTTTACGATATCAATTCCAAAATAATCTATATTATAATAATTAATTTTGTATTTACCTAATTTACCAATGAGGAGCTGTCCAACATCCTTGATTTCATTGTATTCGTGGAGTTTGTCTATGTGTTGCTGAAGTTCTTCCTCACTGTACCTTTTAACATGATTTTCAAGAAAGTTAGTGTTAACCTTGATCTCCAGAGTATAGGTTGACAAAGCCCCACCTCCACTCCCCCCCCCCCTCAAATTCTCATATTCAGGGTATCATTGACTTACTCTTGACTGAGTTCTTCGATTTCCCTGTCTAGAATTTCTAGCTTTGCTTCTAAACTGTGAATGTCGTCTGACAAGGTTGGTTCTTCCT